GGCCTTAACTACTATGTACTTATTTATAAATAAATAAATAAATATATATATATATATATATATATATAAAATACAATGTATACAGGTAAGGTTAGGACAAGGTTTGGTGGTATGGGTAGGTTTAAGGGAAGGGTCAACAGTGTAATTATAAATGTAGGATCGGGTGGAGGAGACGGAGAAGAAATGGGGGAGGAGGGGGGGGGGGGGGGGAAATCGGGAGAGGTCCTCAAGCTGGGATTCGAACTCGGGATGCCCATAGCGCTACAGTGCTATATGTCGTGCGCTGCCCACGTGGCTATTGCCGCCGACACCGCCCCTGTTTCCTACCATCACAAACATGTAACCAATCCTGTCAACTTGCTGGGATGGACTTTTCATATTAGTATCTCCACTGGTCATAAGTTTACAATGTGTTTTTACAGTGTTGAGCAATGTAGCCAATCACAGACATTTATGTTGTTTTTTTGAATGCAATAGCCAATTAGAGGTGTTTAGACAGAATCCACTCACCACTCAAAATGGTGATTTCATTTTTGTTCAGTGCTGAGTTATGCATGTATGTGAATAATCTCATTAAAACAAACATGTAGACGCAATGTAAATATGAGATTAATTGTGCAGTGTTGTAGAGTTTCACTGATTACAACAGAACGTTGTAGCATTATGCTAAATTAAGATGAATGAGAGCTTTTTAGTGATTTCAAGGGGGAGTGCTCTTTGTGCACCTTTCAGGCTATAATTTCATTCAGAATTTGAAAAATAATTCACTGGCACAATCACTCTCTGAAACCAATTTGTCCAAGCGTTTACTACTTTAATTAACTGAGTGAAAGTGGAGCAGGTCCTGGCTGGCGTGATTGAGGATAATCGGGAACTAGTTAGCATAATCATGGATTCGCATATACTAAATGAGGTAAGTTTTTATTTTATTTTTTTCACAGGAAAAAGCATTTCAATATGTCATTTTGCTTATCAAAGATGAGTTTAAAGGGAGAAAAATAGTGAATGCAGGGGGACTTGAATTATTCTATAGTTCATTATCTTTTCAAGCATTATAACATGACAAACCTTTATTGACCTTTGCTCTCATACACAATAAATATATGAAAGATTTGTAAGAATATCAAAGGTAAAACTAAATAAATAGGTGCATTGTTGTGTTCATATAAGAGTTAAAGACACTTAATGGGACTATTTAGTCCATGTGCAAAGTAAAGTTGAAAATAACAATTTTGATGACACAATTTTATATTAGATAGATGATATGATGTGAGTAGTTTGGATGTTGTTGTTGTATATATAGGTTTTGCTGCTTGATATGTTCAATGGGTAAAAGGACTTTGATATTTATAGGCATTTTGATTTACATTCTTGCCTTGCAACCTTCCCATTTTACTGTAAAATTTTTGTATTTACATTCTGTAGACATTTCACAAACTCAAACCTGAAATATGAATGTCTTAGTGTTTTTCACCTATAATAGCAACTTAACACAAAACAGCACTTGAAAACAGCCTTGGACTACAGAATGGTCTTCATTACTGTAAGAGACTGAAAAAAAAAAGTTGTATATGGGGTATATTTGGGGGAGGGTTGGACTGGAAGCAGAGAATAGAGAGAGAGAGGACTATTATAGTGCAAAAAGTGCTTGGCCAGTATCAAGGCTGGACTGTGAGAAACAGACAGGCACTAAGATGAGCCAACAGAAGCATGGAAATAGATTATTTTACCCTCGTGCTAATGGATAGAGATGCTTTAGATGTGATTAGGGCAGAGGGAGATGTAGGAGCAAGAGAATGGCAGCCAGATAAAGTGGGTGTGGACAATATAGTTCAATAAACAAGGTTGCTTTGAAAAGGAATAATCATAGAGGTGTAAATTAAAGTTATTTTTCTTAAGTTAATTATAGTATTTGTTTCCAGTAATTTACCTTCTACTCCTAATTTACTAGATTTACTAGTTCCCTAACAACTTCCCAGGTCTAAGATCTTCGCTGATGCAAATTCAAACGGTTAGTTTAAGTCTCCATTTGGAGAATGTTTATCTTTGTCTGAGTACTTAAGAAATGGTTGCAAAATCTCAGGGCGATTCTGTAAGCCCATTTTTTGAGTGCATTCCATACACTCAGCACTGTGTATGTTTTTGAGGTATGCAGGTATGCATTTCTATTCGGACTACTTTATTCAGATTACTTAGGCTCAGTAATGAGAGAAGCAGTAGGCACATCTTTTGAGACCATCAGTCACTCACGCATTTTAGCAAGCTGTATGTACATGATTTAGGAAAACTATCATTCAGATATGAGCAAGCAGCAGGCCAAACTAAACATTATTAGTAAACCCTGCAACCGCTGACTACGAATGGATGTGTGATACAGCATGGAAACATAAATCATACTGTGTTTGTTCATTTAGGTCACAGGAGAACTGACAACCTGACTGAGCCTGTTTTTTCTCCACTAGAGTCATTACAGTACATTACAGATATTGCAGATTATTGCTCTTCCTACCATCTGCAGTCCTCATGCCTCCCTGCAGCAGGACTATGGCATGTTCATGTAGATGAACAGAAACCCTGGGAATCTTCCTTCTGGTGTTTTTTTTGGATTTAGTAGAAAGTCTCTTTAATGTCCCTAGTTATTGGAACTGTACTAGTAAAAAAATTTCACCTGTAAACTGTTAGTGTTTAAGGACTGTTCCACAGATACATGTGCAATAATTGTTTATGGTTGATCGAACAAGCATGTAAAAACACTTTCTAGTAAAGATCTGTACAGTTTATTTGGATTTTACAAATTATCTCTAAAATACAGTTTCTAAAAATAGACCTATTTTTTTTTCTTTGTTGAAAGTCTGAATATAAGTGTGAATTGTGAATATAGAGTTAATCATTTAATTTTAAATACATAACTGTAAATCTGAATAGATATTTTTTAAATCCTTAATGTATAAATGCAAATCTGAATATGTACTGTCTTCATCTCATTATAAATATATATTTATCCTAGCTAGCCATCTAATCTTTGCTATTACAAATACACTCGGCAAGTTGAGAGGTTTTGTCAGGTCTGGAGGAAATATAAAACAATGAATCACCTGCATAACAGTGGAAAATAATGCCATGGTTTCTGATAATGTCTACGAACTGAAAAATATTCAAGGAGAAAAGTATCGGCCCTAAAAACTGCCAACTTGAAGATTTTTGAGATGTGTCCTGAAGAAAGTAAAGAGGTAAAGGGGTCTGTGACGAGAGGGGCGGGGCCGAGAGCCGTGGGAACGGAGCGAGGCCGGTGGAGTAATTGCGAATGCGTGACACCTGTGCCACTCACCGGTCTCGAGTCTCACGGAGGAGCTCCGGAAGGATACAAAGGAGGAGTGACGACAGGGAAAGACGAGAGAGGACCAGGCCTGGATTTTATTTTGTGTTTTGGTTTTGTTTGTGCGTGACAGTCGTCCGCGAGGGGCTGTCGCGCTGTTTTGAGTTTATTTTATTATAAAAGTTTCTTTGAGTGTTCACCGGTTCCCGCCTCCTTCTTCCCGACCTACAAACGTTTGTTACAGGGTCCTATTATGCTTTTTCAGTTTTAATTAGTGTGCAATGTTGCTGTTCCGAGATTTAAAAAGGTCTGCAAGGTTACAAAGCTCAAAGGTGACTCTAAAACAGCAGAAAACATTTTTCAAGAAATACAACAAATGGCTCATTCAGTGTCACTCATTTAAATAATTCCCACCCAATGAATATGCAAAAAAAAGAGGGCGAGGCCTGGTTGAGCTGTAGTACAAAAGTCAAAGAAGAGCTGCTTAAAGGGATAGTTCACCCAAAAATGAAAATTCTGTCATTAATTACTCACCCTCATGTTGTTCCAAACTCATAAGACCTCATCTTCGGAACACATATTAAAATATTTTTGATGGAATCTGAGAGCTCTCTGACCCTCCCATAGACAGCAAGGATCCTTACACGATCAAGGTCCAGAAACATAGCAAGGATGTCGGTAAATTAATCCATGTGTCATCAGGGGTTCAACTGTAATTTTACAAAGCTACGAGAATACTCTTTGTGCGCAAAAGAAAACAAAAATAATGACTAGACGCAAACAACGTATCCACATGACACAGCTGACACAGAACAGCATACATTGTTTACGTTCAGAGGAAACTCTCCAAAATGGCGCCAGGCTGACATGGAGCAGACAAATTGTTCAATAAAGTAGTTATTTTTGTTTTCTTTGTGCACAACAAGTATTCTCGCAGCTTCGTAAAATTACGGTTGAACTCCTGATGTCACATGGATTATTTTACCGATGTCAGAGAGCTCACGGGATGCATCAAAAATATCTTAATTTGTGTTCCAAAGATGAACGGAGGTCTTACGGGTTTGGAACAACATGAGGGGGAGTAATTAATGACAGTATTTTCATTTTTGGGTGAACTAACACTTTAAGTAGCGTGTTGTCACCATGGCAAAGAGAATGTACTTCATATGTACACAGTACTTATAAAACCTTTGCAAACTGTTAATTCAAAGTTTAAATTGTAGTTAATGCATTAATAGACTCTATACAAATAGTGGGTTCTTCATTCATTGTCACTGTAATTAACCAAATTGTTATTGTTTAACTAGCTCATATGTAAAGAGTTATATATTGCTTTGTTAACAACTTATTAACCATAAATAGTTCTCACTTTAGATTAGGTCATGGAAAATGTCATTAATGAAGTGCTTTATCTTTGAATTTTCTAGAGCTTTTTCGCATTTGGCTCCCAAACTCTGGAATAGCCTTCCTGATACCGTTTCCTTTAACCTGCCACCACAAAACAGATCTGAGGTCAGTAAAACATGGGCCATGTTTAACATCAGCTCCATCTGCTGCCATCAGGCTTTATATATAAAAAAACCTGGCCAGTTTGTGTTTTGCTTTACTTTGCCTTACATTGGGTGTAACACTAATATGACATCAAGCATGACACAGAAACACCTAACTGATAGGAGTGGCTCACCTTTGTACCCTTTTCTGTTCCTTTGTCTGAAGGAAAAAGCTGAAAGAGACGTGGGAAACAAATTCAATAATAGGAAACTCTGCATGCTCTGTTCTTGCCATTGGGAGCTTCCTATTACATAAGCTTCCTATTAGTGCTTCAGAAACTAAAATATGTCAACAAATTTTTCATAGCTAGTTTTTTGTTGTTGTTTTTACATTTTGTAAAAAATTTGTGTTTCACTCTGAAAAATCCACTGTATGATGGTGGATGTTCAGAGTGGCTGCCATGTTGTTATGGGGTATTTTAGAGAGAGAGAGAGAGAGAGAGAGAGAGAGAGAGAGAGAGAGAGAGAGAGAGAGAGAGAGAGGAGAGAAATTGCATTGCAATGCAGTCACAATCTTACTTTTCCAATGCAGTCATCAAAGAAAGCCAAGCTGGTGTCTTTGTCGCTAACAAAAGTACATTCCTCAATGAAGCGGATGAAGATCTGAGTCTTGGTGAGCTGAGAGTAGAACTTCTGATGTGCACGATCTCTACTCTTTAAGAATCCTAAAGAGACATTGGAATTATTCAGTGACTAATCAGTTGCAGTAGTTCAATACTTTGGCAATAATTACACTTTATACAGGCACATATAGCGACATGCCTTGCTATAAATTTTCATCCATGTCTGTTAGCTTTGAGGCTAGCTGTATGCAAGTGTAGTCCTAAAAGCTTAACTCTTAAACACATTTAAACAGTTCTTTTATTGAGTGAACAAATGGAGCAAAGAGATTGGACAAAATGAGTGTAAGATGAGTCATGAAATAAACACTCTAGAATAATAATATCCCTCCCTTGATACCACCTGACTAGCAATAGCAAGTAGCAAATCTTGTTCATGGGCGTGATTATTAACAAAAGGCTGCTAGCTATTACTAGGGATGCACGATATATCGGCCACCATATCGGTATCGGCCGATAAATGCTCATTTTTTCTGTTATCGGTATTGGCCTGATAAGAAAATTTGGCCGATATCTTAAAGCCGATAAATAATGCATTATTTCCTTCAGAGACACTTCAGATGCGCGCTGTTCGTTTGCAGCCTTTTGTGCAATTGTACGTTGTAATATTGTGTTTATTTGATGTATATCTGATTTATCTCATATAGAATGCGTTTGGTTAAGTTAAAAGAGCGCTTCAGTTTACCGGTGATCGTCTTTAGCTCAGCGCACGCAGCTCAAACAGCAGTGCACAACATTAATAACTATGATTGGGAATGTTGTGTATATAACATTCTAATGAGAACATTATTATAATAAAACGTTGTGCATTCTTTGGGTTTAGTTGCTGTGTTTCAGCGCGTTGTTATGGGAAGAGCGCATCCACAACAGGATCACACATTCTGACTATAGCATGCAATAACTGCGTCATTTTGTACATATATAAGTTGTAATATTATGTTTATGTTGTATTAATATTAATCTCAGGATGCATTTCCTTGAGTTAAATAAGCTGCCAGCAAAACGCTTCAGTTTACCGTGTTCATTCAGCTCTTCAGCTTCAGCACGCGCAGCTCAACGGCTGCTGTTTAAAACAGTGGTATTAATTTGTTACTTTTTCAAAATCATTGATATATTATTAATAACAACAACCACTTGTATTTTTCTCTTATTATTTTCATCAACAATATGGTTTAGTAATTAAAATCATTTAATTATTGTCCGTGCAGAGGCTATTCCGTTTTATTGATCTATGGCGCATTCATTTTGATTCTTTACACGTGTAATGATGTCCAGTGACTTGTTTGCATTATTTATGCATTATTTTATTTATTTGTAAGACTTTTTTATGACTAAATTTGGTAATGGGAGAGTAAAAATATTTTTAAAACGTACACCGTTCAAACTAGGCTGCTTATGTTGAAGTGTTTGGGATGTGGCTTTTAATGATGAGACCTTTTTTGTAATCAGGCTCTCAAAAAGTATATAACAATTTGGATATAGATTTATCGGCCAGCATATCGGTCATCGGCTTTCAAAAATAAAGAATAATCGGTATCGGGCAAAATTTTCATATCGGTGCATCCCTAGCTATTACAAAAAGCGGAGGAGCTCTTCAATATGCCACAATGAGCAATGGGACATCCTACAGTCTTGTGGACCTTGGACACAAAACCAAGATCTCATATCACTACACAGGGCCACTATTCTGCTGGAAGAGTTACCTTGCAGGTCATAGAGTGAGTCTGCAGCAGTAGCTTTCTCAGAAGGTGCTTGTGTGATTGGTTTGAGGTAGGTTCGGTAGCCCTTCAGTATGGATGTCATAAAGCGCAGGAACGCCTCCTGAATCTCCATCTCCAGCTCTGTCTTTTTCTTATGCCAGGTAAAGTCTGCCTCGATAGGGGTCATCTCCACTGCCAAGCCTTCTAGTGCTGTACGCCGAACTGTATTGAAAAAAATCCTCATATACAATAGGTCTCACGTACCCATAGTCACACCTTTTTTAACTGAAAAAAATTCAGAGATGCAGCAGAGGGAGATAAATTTAATGCATAAAGAAGCTGTAAAGGTGAAAGGAGATCTTACCAGTGGCAAGCTGGTGGTGAAGATTTCCTAGAGAGTTGATAAGACCTTTGCAGGGCTTCTTTGGGAGGTTCTTCCAGTTACTATTTCTTTTTTCATCAGACCTAAACCAAAAAAAAAGGCAAATATCACATAATATATATTATATATTCCATGCCTTGAAAACATAACAAATAGCAATACATTCCCAAATGTTTAAACTTAAAGTTCAAGGGTGCTCACAAGTATATAGTGTTGGTGTCCAAGTCCACACAGACCACATCAGGTGGGGGATCGTAGAGGTCAAAGTATCTAGAGTCAACGCCCACAATGAATGGACATGGTGCATTGAGGACCCCCGCCAGAGACAGAGGGCAAAGAGGGATATAAGGACACTGCCACTGGAATGGGAAGATCATCTAGACGGAGACGATAATGACAATGGTGTCCCATTTATTAATATAGCAAATCCTTCAAATATTCTCATTCCCTTCTGAACAATTGGTTTACATGAGAACACACTTTTACATTACTTTTAATTACCCTACTTGCAATTTACATTCACAAACATTTTGTGCTAGGGATGCACCAAAATGAAAATTCTGGGCTGAAATTCTGGATGCACTTGACCGAAAACCAAAACTGAAAATACTTAGTAATAATTATTTATTATTTTATTAAATAATATGATGTAATTTTGTAAGACTTATTAATTTAACTGAATTTCAATGACACTGAATTAAAAAAAAACATAAGCCAAAGAAATACAATAAAAATGCACAGAAAATATATGAATAAATATCGATGTATTAATTTTATTCAGTTCTATGCTACAGAATCAGATATAATTTTTTTGGACTAATTATTCAAATAATGTATAGTCGTACTACAAAGCTGTAGCGGAGGTAAGAAGGTAGCGGTATTTTACCAGTGTTGCCTAGTACAGCTGTACTACGCTGCTGCAAACAAAAACACGACAAGTGCACTACATACAAATTGACGACAGCTAGAGGGAGAGTGAAACCTGTGTGCTGAACACTGTTGAGCGATGTGGCACAGTTTGGCCGTTTTTCTCTTTCGTCCGAAAATGCCATTTTTAGTGGCCGAAAATTCGGTGCATCCCTATTTTGTGCTTAGCACAATCTGCCATGTGTAATTTCAATCTTGATTATAGAGGATGCAGCAGACTTTCACAATCTGGCATAATTTATTAAGATTATACAACACCAGTGTACATGGTTCTGAATCTGTAGAAGGTTTTGTATGAATGAAAAGTTTTTATTGTGAAACATGTGAAAAGTGTGAAACATTGTACAAAGTAGCAAACCATTTCCCCCTTTTTTTTTTTTCCCAAACACTCACCGCCACAACAGCCTCAGCCACCCCAGTCAGTACAGCTGGTCTCAGGGAGTGCAACAGGATCTTGCTTTCCAGCAAGATAAAGTGTAGCAGTGTGGCACAATTTTCTGGGCCCAGATTCATCAGCAGTGTGCTGTAGTCTGCTCCACTGAAGAGCAGAGAAGAGGAAGAGTGAAAAATAATCAAAATATCAGATGCTAATTTTACAGAAGTGGTTTGAATTCATGGTAGAAGGACTTATTTCATATTGACATATTTGAAAACGCTCTCTAAGATTTAGATTGGCATTGTTCTGAAAGGTGAATATTCCTTAGTATTACTTCAAATCTATTATTATATATTACTTTATTATTTACTTCTCTTTTCTCTTAAAAAGGTTTAAGAACAGAAAAGTAAATTCACTGTTCATCAGCTAGAAAAAAATATCTGTGTCAGTATAATTGTGGTGTGGACTTCCCTATTCTCATGAAATTAAAACAAACATTAAAACTTTATAGTTATTGTTGTTGTTATAGATATCGTCCTTGGTGTGAGCAGACCTTAACAGTGGAACTACTTTTCTTGGATGAATTTGTGATTAAGTGTTACCAGTGTAATTTCTGTGTTTGGAATTGTCATCAATCGCAATGTAATTCCTTACCTAACAGACACTGTAACACTGAGTTACAAGTTACTTACTATATAGAGGTTAAAGGTGCCTATTACAGCACCTTCAGCTTAATACTAAAAATATTGTGTGATGTAATATGCAACACACCCAAAATTATGTTTTAGAGAGTCATGAACCTTTCAATTTTATAGAACCCAGTACACTGGTCAGTAGAACCAATAACTATAGAGAGGATCTTGTGATCGAGTGAAAAGAAAATGCCGATATGACAGGTCATGTATTTTTTGTCCATACAATTGAAGTGGGAACCAAAACGGTTTGGTTATCAACATTCTTTTAAATATTTTCTATTATGTTACCTAGAAAAGAAAATCATACAAGTTTGGAACAACCTGAGAGTGAGTAGGAATTAAAATTTTTTGGTGGACTATCCCTTTAACAGGACTTTAAAGGAACACGCCACTATTTTTGAAAATAGGCTCATTTTCCAACTCCCCTAGAGTTAAACAGTTGAGTTTTACCGTTTTCGAATCCATTCAGCTATCCGTCTCTGATCTGACCTCCTAAAACTACCACCACTCCAACTGAAAGGAAAAGATGGAAGAATTTCCTATGGAAAAAATTGATGATAAAAATGACCAGCCATTCTTGTCTGACTTCAAACTGCAGCTCTGCTGGCCAGAATTAGATAAAATGAGATTCTAAAATAGAAAAGGTTATACATAAGTAAATAGGTATGACTCACTACATCTGGATTCATGAAATGATATACAGTGGCTACAAAAATTTTAAGACAATTAAGTCATTTCAGAAGATATGAATGGTATATCAAAATAAATAAATATTTTAGCTGCTTGTTCAAAATAACAAGCGAACAACACAATTGGCAAAAAAATTTAGAGCTCAATTTAATTAAATTCAGTCCACTTAAATATGTAAAACTGAAATTTACTTTATGTTTGGACTACAGGAATAATTTGGTGCATTAGTTTAAACTGCATGGGTGAATTTAAATTAAGAAAAGTACATTGTTTTTAAACAGTTACCTTAAGAAATCTATGTAAAATCTACTTGGGAAAAAAAATATAAATAAATTTATATATATATATATATATATATATATATATATATATATATATATATATATATATATATATATATATATACTTATATTATGTAAAACTGAAATTTACTTTATGTTTGGACTACAGGAATAATTTGGTGCATTAGTTTAAACTGCATGGGTGAATTTAAATTAAGAAAAGTACATTGTTTTTAAACAGTTACCTTAAGAAATCTATGTAAAATCTACTTGGGAAAAAAAATATAAATAAATTTATATATATATATATATATATATATATATATATATACTTTTGCAAAAATGTATGTATGTATGTATGTATATATATTAAGGAAAATTTCTTTTTTTTCAGCCTACCACAGTTTCATAATGAACCAAAAATTTTACACTTCTAAAAAAACACTGTGTTCTGTGCCATTGCTTTGGCGAAGCATCTGTCAGATCTAAAATCTGTCAGATGAAAGCCAAAGTCTCACTAAATACTGTGTGAGACACTTAAGTTTCACTAAGATTTTACAACCAGAAACTGTCCAAACAAAAATGAATCTATTATTATATGCCACTTGTTTCATATTTCATTATCTAAAACAACAGTATCTTCACCTATGTCCATACCTTAATCAAACAGAAATCATTTACCTTAGTGGTAAAGGTGTACAGACAGGTTGGGACAGGATTAAGGTGTCATGTGCCGACAGCTTACGGGGGGGAAAAAAACAGATCTGGCATTACCTAAACAAAGTCTAAACAATTCGTTGAAAAGTCACAAATATATAACTCGTATAACGTTATATAATGCTATAAACAAATATACACAGATGAGCCAAAATATTATGACCACTAATATGCTGTAGGTCCTCCGTGTGCTACCAAAACAACTACACCCCGCCGAGGCATGGACTCTACAAGACCCTTGAAGGTGTACTATGACATCCGGCACCAAGATGTTAGAAGCAGATTCAAGTCCTCAAGTCCTTTTAGGTTTGCGAGGTAGAGTAGGTTTGTGGATCGAACTTGCTGGTCCAGCACATCCACGGATGCTCAGTTTGATTGAGATCAGGGGAATTTGAAGGCCAGGGCAACACCTAGAACTCTTCATTATGTTTTTTTTTTTAAACCATTCCTGAACAATGTGTGTTGTGTGGCAGGGTGCATTATTCTGTTAAAAGTGGCCACTTCCACCAGGGAACACCATTGTCATGAAGGGGTGTACCTGGTCTGCAACAATGTGTAGGTAGGTAGCACGTGTCAAATTTACCACCACATTTATTTTCGGATATAGTTTCCCAGAAGAACATTGACCAGAGCATCGCTCTCTCCACCGTCTTGTCATTGTCCCACAGTGGATCCTGGTGCCATCACTTCCCTAGATAAACAGTACCAAAAGCAACCTTCTTCCACTTCTCCAATACCCAGTTCCTACACTCGCATGCCTGTTGTAGGTGCTTTCGATGGTGGACAGGGTCATTGTAGACACTAAGATTGGTCTGTGGCTAAGCAGCCCCATACACAGATCTTTATTCCTGCCCATCTCGCCTGCATCCAACATGTTGATTATGAGAACTGATTGTCTGCTTACTATCTAATTTACCCAGACCTTAATATTTAATTGTTAGGAGATGATCAACGTTATTTACTTCACCTGTGTCTGGTCATAATGTTTTGGCTCGTCAGTGTATGTTTACAGGTATTAAATGTATAACTTTGGAATCCAGAATAATAGAGAGAAAAAAACTGTCCTCCTTACCTGGACCAGTATTCTTGGCCTCTGAGGAGAAGGGAAGGAGACATTGTGCATGAAATGGGATATGTGTCTAAAAAACAAAAGAAATCAATCATATTAACCCAACTCATAGACTGATATCACAATGAAACAAATGACTTCTTCTGTTAAACACATGGCTAGGTGATTTACTATTACAAATATACTGGTAACAGTCTACGTAGAGCTTTCCAAATCAGTCACTTATGAGGTTCCATGATGGTTACTATGCTGCCTTGGAAGACAGCTGCCTATGTAGATAGTTTATTAGGTTTTGGAACAGATTCATATTGTGCAAAATAGTGTTATTGCCATCTTTAAAAAATAGAGACAACATTACTGCAAAAAGCGGTGTTTTAAAAAAATTGCAAATAAAAAATAGTAGTGAACTGCAGTTGAAGTAAGAATCTGTTTGTACTTCTCAATGGGCAGAGGGTTGACTCCATTGGCTGACAGCTTGTAAAGGAACATTAGGAACTTCCTGAAGGACTCAAAGAAAGGCCAGCGGGACAGCAGGCAGATGCATTTGTTGGTATTGACTGTGCGGTTGGGTATGACCTTCTTGTCCACATTGGAGACCAGACCTAGCTGGATCTTTTGTTTCTCGCTGAGACCGTCCACAGAATACGGCTCGTAGAACTGTATTCCAGCTCCATAGACCTGCAGAAGAGGAACAAAAATAGACAGTTGTAATTATTTTTTTTTCAATTTCAACTTATGCCATCCATTAAATCTGAACAGATTCAGATAGAATTATCTGTCTTTCACCTAAGGTGCTGTTAAAAAGTGTAATACATGTCTCCACAATTAAAAGAATGAAAATCAATTTGACCCCCTCCAACTATGCTGATTTTAACCATTTGATGCGGACGGTCACTGGTGTATTTAGAACATTCACTGCTAAACTCAAACATGTTTTTGCACTTTGTCAGGCGCTGAGGTGTCACTGGTGCTGGGGCTCAGTGGTTTTCATAGCCTATATCACAATAATTCACTGTTTTAAACCACATAAAATGTATTTAAAATGTAGGTTTCAGACATTTAAATTAATTAATAGCAAAAAAGACATAAATACACACAATGTTTGTGAGTTTTTTTTAAAGCAGCAGTCTGTAAGTTTTGCCTCTTTATCACCATCTCTGTTTGAAAACCTGCAATTGCAGTTATTTGCATAATTATCTTCCTTGCATGGGTTGTGCACCGGCATGGCGTGGTTGAATCTAATGTTTTGATGTGTGGCTGTCAGCCACCGCACCGGTGTGGATACTGTACTTCTGAATCACAGATTTTAGCCTACGTCTTCGAAGTATGACCCAAATAAGAATTTTCACTGGATAAGTAAGTAACAAGTAAGTAACAAGTCTGTTTTGTTCTGACCAACTGAGAAAAAAAGCATTACAATAAATCGCACTACCAATGGTGATTAAATCTAACGATCACTTAGCTCATATCACATCAAACCGTGCAAATGCTTATTTTTATACTTTTTTCTCAAATTGTTCATGTTAACAATATCAGCATTGTGTGACTATGTGTGTATTAGCGTGTAGATTTTAGTGTCTGTACAGGCTAATCTCTAATTGTCACACCATTTGAATTTCATATCAAGAAATTATTTTAACCCAAAAGGCAAATTCTTCCTTAGAACTGGTTCTCTTTAAAATATAAATTTTCTGTGATCCCACGTAGGCTATCTGTAATCAGATGCACATTTAAAACTGGAATATAATCTAATTTCAGTCATGCATTTCATAAACACATAATCCTTTCTGGATTACAATCTGCCATCATATTCCAGCTGCTGTGAGATCCTAGGTAACTATAAAGTTCGCTCTATTCTTCTCCTAGTTCAATGGTGACTTACTTTTATGTATTTCGGGAGAAATAGGTGAATTTACATGATGTTAATCTAAAGATCCGATTCTCTGAATGAGCATTATAAAGTTTTTAAACGACAAACACATTTACTTTCACTTACACACATTTGACAATCAGAATACACACCTCCCCCCACCCCCTTAGCCCCCCAGAGAATTATGCAAGCCCCCCCCAGTTCGTGTTTTCTGGACTGGGAGGATAACACTGAGGAAAGTGATGGGACAGGAAGTGGAGTTGTTTCTTTAGGATTAACATGTCATGTGACAGGAAGTGATGCAACATGGAGATAAAGAAACTGACTGCACCGTTGCCAACTCTCGCGAGACAAATAAGCATCCGAAGCTTCAAAAACAAGCCAAAAACAAGCCCAATATTTTTTGATTATCATCAATATTATTTATTATTATCAATTATTTAATACCAATAAATGAGCCTGCAACATATTAAACTGAAACTACTCTTTTACTCTTTTAGCTGCATCTAAAATGGAATTTAGATATATTTACACAGACTCTTTAATGCTGTTCGATTAGAATTGCATAATTCTAATTGAATTCATAATTCATCTATAAAGCAGCTATGAAACCCTAACTCAACAGTAAGTACAATTTGTTAATTGATAGGTAACACTTTATTTTAAGGTGTCCTTCTTACACATTACATGTACTTACTATTATAATAACAATTCATTATGCATTATTACATGCAAGTAACCCTAAGCCAAACCCTAATCCTAACCCTAACCATATAGTGAGAACATGTAGTTAATCAATATTACTCAGTACTTAAAGGGTCATGAGACCCCAGACTACTTTTTCTGAGATTTTAGCAGAGGTGTTTCTGTTGCACATCATAGAAGACAATGTTAGAATCCAATAATTTTAACTATTGGAGAAAATTGGTTAATTTTAAGCTTTTTTTGCGCTATTTTCATCTTCCGAGTTTAAAATCTAAATCGTGTTGATGTCACAATTTGTGACGCGGCAAAGGACTATAGTACATCGATGACGTGTCGGTGTCTATTAAATTATTCATGAGACTGCGTATTCTTATCCTATGAGAAGATGCTTCGCTTAATTATTCACAACAGCATGTGTTGATTTGCAATGACAGACGCTTCAGACTGTGAGATTGTGTACATTATCTGAGAGAAACGTTCATGAATCGAAGGAGAGTGTTTGTTTTTGCTTTGTAGTAAGAGTTCGGCACAAACCAAACGCGATTCATTCACTTAGTGAGTATAACCGTTTTTACAGCTCCATGACACAACCCGTCAAAATGCTTATATAATCGCCGCAGAATAAGCCTTAAAAAGTTATCAGAGGTGCAACAGCACATTCATTTATAGACAAAATGAAACTGTCTAAACCCGAAGCTGTGTGTGTTGTCTGTCTCACCTCTTCCCCCTCCGCTCGCTGAGCACCACGCCGAAATAATGCATTATTTATCGGCTTTAAGATATCGGCCAAATTTTCTTATCTGGCCGATACCGATAACAGAAAAAATGAGCCGATATGGGCCGATACCGATATGGTGGCCGATATATCGTGCATCCCTACTTAAAAAGTTATCAGAGGTGCAACAGCACATTCATTTATAGACAAAATGAAACTGTCTAAACCCGAAGCTGTGTGTGTTGTCTGTCTCACCTCTTCCCCCTCCGCTCGCTGAGCACCACGCCCACTTTTTAAGCATTTTTTAAAACTGTGGTGAGAACTAACCAGTGCTGAAACGGGGTTTCATGACCCTTTAAGTGTATATAGTTACAATGTAACAAGGACACCTTAAAGTAACCAATTTATGTTACTTGGCACTTATTTGTGTAATTACATTGCAACAAGGATGGCTTAAAATGCAGTTTAACTGGTTGTTGTTTTAAATTAAACATTAAGTCATGTTGAGTGCTTTTCATGATAAGCTGTTTAGACTGCTCCAGTGTTTTTTTCCCCCTCCACTCCAGTCACGTGACTGACAACTATGAATTGTATAACAGTGCAGTTTATTTTTTACATTGTTTTGACCTCCATGCTGAACTCACCAAGCCACAGTTGAGGTTCTTGTCCACTTTACAGAAAGTGTGAGGAGGAGTCTCGCCCTTGTTTGTGATGATGACGCGGATGTCAGTCACAGCCAGTGAGTTCTGGGGCTGGACGGGGGGTGCGCGGCGGTATGTAATGAATATGCGCTGGGATGTGGCAGAGCTGTTGTTGACATTTGCACAGCGGCCAAACGGCGTGGCCTCAATGACCTCACAACCCTGAATAAGACGCTCTTTACCCTCATATAGGACCCTACAACAAAGAACAAACACTGATCAGCAACTTAACCCACAAAAAAACACAGAAAATGGAAAAGAACCCATTAACAAGTACCCTTAGGCTCTTCTTGTGATGGAATTACATTACATTAGCATTACCAAGGTCTGTGTAAACGTGTCCAGTCATGGCACAACAGGGTTTGTATGCAAGGCAGTGAAAAGAGAAGAGGAAATGTGGGAGACAGATTATCTCAATGTAAGTGCAATGAACAATAAACCTAAATTATATGAGTTCATCACCTAAAGTGATTATGACTCTTTAACCCTCAAGCATCCTTTGGGACAAATCTTTTTTTGTTTGTTTCCTTAATCTAAGCGCTACAAGACTTGGCTACTTTTCCTGTTTGCCACCTGAACACGCACACAAAAGAAATGGACTCAATTCAACAAAGTTCAGTGGTGGAAGAAAAAAAAAACTCCTTAATTTGTCCTTTGTGGACAAAAGTGGGCAGCCACAGTAAATGAATGGGAAATATTAAAATTCAAAGCATTTTTTTATTATTCGTATCAGACCTGAGACCTTTGTGCCCAAATGTGTCCACGAAGGACAAATTAAGGGCTACTATAAGAAGGATGCCTGAGGGTTAAAAGACTTGGATTAATATTTTAGAAAGAAGTCCTTTATGCCAGCCGAGGCTGCATTTACTTGATAAAAAAAATTGTACAATAACAAAACATCAATACTGTCAACAGTAATACTGTGAAGTATAAGAACAATAAATAATAATAAAATATTTTAAAACAATCAAAATAGCCGTTTGTATGGTAAATATAGTTTATTCCTGTGATGGCAAAACAGAATTTTTAGTAGCCATTACTCCAGTTTTCAGTCATATGAAAGGACATGTATTCATTCATTGATATAATCTTACAATCGTAACCATATATTGCTACTAAAAATTGAAATCTCATGTTAAAAGTTTAATAGATGAGCCCAAGCCTGCGTTAATAATTCGAAAATGTTGAACTACACAACAACAGTAGTATTTCTAAAATTATAGCGGGCTTGGGCATCCACCATCACACTCACTGTGAGAAATGCTGTAAGCGGAGTGATTCAAATGGTGAAAAATGATTCAATATGGCGATACTGGGGAATATATCATGGTTAGAAAAACCTCTCAGCCTATCAGATTCAAGGGCAAGAACAAACTGTTGTATACACATATATTATTATTAATTTTACTCATCATATAATGCCTTGAAACTGTTGCTATATCATTACTGTTCCATGTTTTTGCTGAAACCCTGCCGGTATAAAAGGTATAGCTATAAAATATATTTATATTTTCATTGATTGAAATATTAAAAATGACAAATAAAAGTCCTTTTTATATTCAGAAGCTTTTTTTAACCATGTTAATGTGATTGTATTCCTCAAAAACATATGGTAATCTGTTGTAGCACCATAGTCCTAAATAATAGGTGGTGTGCTGTTCAGGCACCAAATTATGCAGCGTCTCTCTCTCTGAACTCCAAAGAGCCCAAATGGGCTTTAAAAGCTTTACACGCACTGAGTGCCATCAAATGCCTTACCAGCAAGTACATTGCATCATCTTGATATTTAATATTGTGGCATAGTAATGAAGACAAAATACAGTGGATGTTGTGTCAGGCCTTGGAGAGGGTTTATTTTGAATCACAATATAGGCTACATATATTAAAAGGGGGGATTATAGTGAAAACTAATGAAATATGGGTGTGGTGTCCTTGCTGTGATTTTGGCAATGATGAGGGTTGGGGAGGGCTTAGAGGAGTTTGTACCATGCAAGGATCCAGTCAGTGGTGACAGTGGACTATGTCCTTAAAAGAACGAAGGCCTTGAGCTGAACTATAAAACTCATAGTCAGCTGATGCTGAATAGAGACCACAAATAGATTTCGTATGACAGGCATATATGCAAGGTGCAATTTGTTACAACCAGAGGGGTGGGTATTTGAATGAGAATGTCATCATTAAAATATTAATGTAGAAAGATAGGCAATTTGAATATAGCAGAAATACTGAACAAAAATGTTTAAACTGAATTAACTAAATTAATTAACATTTAACTATACATATTAAATAGGGTAAATGTACCCTATTATACTTAACGTATTAAGCTCACGTACCCATTAAGCACACTTCCATATTTGAGCTCAGATTATAAAAAGACAAAATAATGTATTATCATACTTGATGTCTTAACCAATTAATGTGTTTGTTACTACAAACCTCCTGTAATTTCAAGCCAATCAGATCATTGCACACTGAGATATGAGTCTCCATGTGTTCACACTGTCTGGCCGGCCATTTTGAAAGCTGTCTGAAAACTTTCACCAAAAGAGGAGCCCTTTAAATGTGCATTTTTTAGACGTTTGAGCCTTTATTTTGGGTAAGTTTCACTACTTGCTGTAAAATTAAGAGATTAGTGATTTAGACTTTTGCATATTATAATCTGGAACTTGGATGTGGGAAATCATTACAGTTAGATCCAAAAGATAGATTTGGCAACATAGCACAGATGCTACAGGACACAGTTAGCTGACTAGCTGTATAAGATTGTGTGCTACGCTAATATATTACTTCTCAGGCTTACAAATTATAAATTGACAGTTCATTGCTGGTCTGTGGTTTTACACTGCTGTAATAAAAATAAAAAAATCATATTATTGTAAGGAGAGCTTAAAGGGTGCACTGCTATGAAAATCACACAGCTTCAGTGACATCAATAAGAAAAAGTATAATTTCATAGATATTGTTAATAATAGTTGTTCATAATAAAATATGTATGAACTTAATACATGACCTAGATTATTTATTTTGCAAAATCTTGTCATTTTAATAAATATTACATGAAATTTATAAAAAATTGTTGCTGCTCCAATTAAGCTCAGTGTGCTCTCTTTAAGCTCTTCCACATTGAACATCTATGTAAATACTTCATAAACAGACTTTACATTTAAACTGATGGTTGTCACTTTAAGTTAAGTTAATTGATTTTCTATGGATTCTGTCAACTCAAATCTACAGTCTGGCTCTGACCTTTGGCAACTAGAATCAACTTCTCCAGACTGTAAATCGGTGGAAAATCGGGGCAAAAATCGTGTAGTGTACTCCAGCCTTAAGAGACTATATAAGTTGACATCCATTTAATAAGAGTCTTCATAATGAGGCTAGTTTCTGTGTTCAACCCCGTGAATGAAATGTTTTATTGGTTTGTTTGATTTGATTTTTAAATATGTGTTAAAATGTTAAAAATGTGGACTAGTCTAGATGTTGCAATGTGCTTAAATGACACTTCACTATGAATATATAACTGATCAAATTGAATGCCTTGCTACTTGCTAATTATTCTTTAAAAAGGTTCTTTAAAATAAACAAGAATTTTTAATAAAACATGATGTGAGCTTAATGGGAACAGGGGTGTGCTTAAAGGGTACAGAAATGTACCCATTAAGCACAGCCAGACTTTTTGCATTTAATGATGCATATCTTAATTGAAATGCTTTTGTCATTTAAAATAAAATTAAATATTTTTGTGTGAGAGATTAATATTTTATTTTAACATAACTTTTTATACTGAAACCAATATCTTGTGCACTAAAAATGTCTCAATGTAGATTTTGGTGAGCTTAATAGGTACGTTTACACTATACATTTATTTATACAATTCACAGGCCCCATGAGACATTAAGATAAGCTGTAAAATATTTTGAACACATTTCTATGGAAATATATATTCGTCATGTATTTATTTTCATATTTATTTATATATGCATATATTTATTTTAACTTTTATGTATGCAACAAGATAATGAGGGAATCCTCCCAAAGGCTACTTCCACATTAAAGCTCTCCTAAAACATCAATAAGCACCTCCAGCTATAAGCAAAAATATTCACCTCTAGCTATTTGTGAAGCATCAACCATATTTTACACGTAATACAGCTAGGACCTGAAATACTCCAAAACTAATCAAAAGTAATCGAGTTTACTCTTTAGTCTACAATAAACCGATGGTAAGTAAGCCCACCTAATTATCATAAAAAAGACAGAATAAATACAAAAATAAATAAAATGTTGCAATATTTAAAGGGGTCATATGACGTTGCTAAAAAACATTATTTGGTGTAATGCAATGTGTTTATGTGGTTTAAGGTTCAAAAACTTTCCACATACTGTACATTATTGTTGCTCCTCTATGCCCCGCCTTTCTGAAATGCGTTGATTTTTACAAAGCTCATCGGTCTGAAAAGCGAGGTGTGCTCTGATTGGCCAGCTATCCAGTGCGTTGTGATTGGCCGAATACCTCAAGTGTGTGACGGAAATGTTACGCCACTACCATACTGTGATGGCGTGTCCCAGAGCGACGAGACAAAACCAATAAAACCCATTATAAATGAGGCATTTGTTGCATCCAGTGGGGACATAATTATGGATTATAATGACTTATACTGTCTTTTTACGCGCTGCGTTGCATCGCGCCACGTAAACATAAAACTATGTCTGCATTTGTGATCGGAGAAACAACAAACAACAAGCGCTACTCTACACTGCTCAAAACTCGCGTTTGAATCATCAGTGGCAAATTCTTTAAATATGAAAACATACTTACAGGCTGGGAGTCAGATCAGCCGGCATTGAAGTCTACTCTCCCAGGATCAGAAAACAGTCCTCCGTAAAATGCGCTGCACACATCTGAATATTTGGGTTGAACTGTTCTGGAACAGTGTTGTAAATACAACTTAACCACTGATTTCTAGTTGCGTCCTCTTTTGGAAGGCCAAACAAAGTATTTTCGCTTTCGCAACGAAACACACAGCATCTCCAGGACATGGCGGCAGCAGCAACAATACTACAGCAAGAATAAAAGTTACGCCTTCTTTCTTTGCGTAAACATTTGGGCACCGTTATGCAAATCTTCCCACACAGTGACGTAGACATGTGGGGGCGTGTTTAAACGAGCCATTTTAGCAGGGAGTGGACGAGTCTTAACTTATAAATAGAATATCTCTGGGTTTGAGACTTTAGTCTTTGCAACTTTAGGGATCTTATCTATTCACGAACAGCTTGTAACACTCCAAAGAGAAAGGAAAGCTTGAAATCACATCATATGACCCCTTTAAATATGGTAAGAAATTAATGTGGGAATAAATATAAAAATAAAATGATTATATACATAAATAAATATATAAAAAATTTTTTTTGAATGAATTAATAAAAACTAAATCATTAAAACTAAATCATGAAATAAATAAAGCTATGCAAAAATAAATTCATTATTAAATAGAATTTTTTTTTTAAAGTAATAAATTATTTTATAAAACCAATTATCAAGTCATTTATTCTTTTATTTTATTAAATAATAAAATAAATATTTATCCAGAACAACTTCTATTATTTTCATTCCATCATAGTCCAGGATAAGTCACAGTGCCATGCATATTTTACTAGGCTACTTGCAATGCTACGGGGATGAAAAATTAACAGAAGGGGAGATTTAAAAAGCAGAGGCTTGGAAATCCCCCCATCCCAGCAAATCACATGCATATGTGACATGCTTAAGTGCATGATGAGATATAAGCATTTGCTTCTTTACAAAAAAATAAATTTATCATGTTGGTAGTTATAAGTTAGTTTTTTTTGTTATAATCACCTTTGTGCTTTTTGTCATTAATTTAAAAAGGCGTAATGTACAGCTGTATGATTATAACAAGAATTTCCAACCAGCCTGAAAAAGCTTGATTCAGACAGATCATGTAGACATTCCAAATGTAAACAAAGCTGTAAAAACTTGACTCTTTTTGACTTCTGTTTGAATAATAAATATCTGTTCAAGGGTACCGCTACACAGAGGAACCTCCATTCACCCTACAAACTCACCCGATGTCAATGAGTGGGGGCTTCCCACGACCCCTCTTGTAACACAGGAAGAGTTCTGGGCTCTTGAGGCTGCCATGGTTGAGATTGGCCGGCTGGCCACTGTAGGTACTCTCAATGCATGTGAAACCTTCAGGCACAGTTTCTCCTGCAGACTTGTTGATGATGGCAAGGTCTGTGATGGGTGCCTTGGGCCCACTGGACTTGGTTTCAGATAGATCCTGCTCTAGTGGTGTGGACTTGTCTGTTAGGCCAGCCACAACAAAGTAGTCTGTCACACGGTGACCCTTATCCTCAATCATGGCTGGACGGACCTGTTTGGAGAGAAGGAACTGTTGATTTTATGTTTTTATAGGTTTTAAACCATATCTGTATGCTTTTTAAAATATATTTACTTTTCTTTATCTTGGACACTCTTATTTGTCATTCACCCAATTACAAACATTCACTAAACGTATAATTTATATTTTTACAGCATACACTGCCATACCATGCATTTGGTATTACCAAAGTGCATCAACTATCAAGAAATCTGAAAATACACAACACATTCTAAGCTGAGCAGATGCCAACAAATAATAACCTAAACTGTAGCTGATCACAGCTTCCTGGCTGAGATCATAATGACCGAATGGTGCAGGATGGGGACCACTGACAGTTGAACATTCAGTTTTTGTAATACTGCCACCAAAGACATTGAAACACTGAAAACACAGACTGAGGTGAGAAGCACAGAGAAATGCAGAAGCACATGGAATGTGCATTTTGTGTGAATAGCACCTCGCAATATGTTCTACTTGCGTTCCTTCATCAAGTGCGTCACACGTGAGCGGTTCATCACAGGTCTCTTTGTGCGTTCAGATCATTCTTTTCTCTTAACTGTTATCAGCAGCATATGGTCAACATGTTTAATTCTAACATTTGGTAATATTTCTATTCAAAATTGTGATTCCTTGATTTATGAAAAAATAGGCCTAAATTGTAGCAAAATACTAATTTAAAATAAATTAAATCGCAAAAATCACCCAGCCCTACTTGCCATAAACAGAAGCACAATGCAGAAGTCAAGGCCTTTTGATTAAGTAAATGGCACAGGATAGCGTTTTCACAATAATGAAATAAATCACAATACATATATTATTGCTGTAAATATGACTGGAATGACCCCAAATTTAATATGACATTGAATTTCACAATTCTTGATACCAATCTCTATAGACTATAGCAAAAACAAATACTAGCCTAATTAATGTAAGCAAAAAGTTATCAACGTTACAGAAAAAGATATGTCAGAATATTACACGAGTCCCAAATATTCTTATTTTGTGTGTTATTGAGCTTGAATGGTTTAAAGTATCTTGAAAGCTAAAAAAGGGCAAGGCTAAAAAATGCATAAAAAATTACTTTCATGGTAACGCAGCACTGCAACATTATGTGAGCATAACTGCAAGAGATGGTTGGCAAAATTTCCATTGGTTTGATGTGTCTACTGGTATATTACCCAACCCTAGTATATATGCACTGTGCGTTTCAGAACTCTATACTTCCTAGTTAGTTCTAAAACAGCTTTTATTGAAACCAAGCTGCCAAAATGACTCGTTGTCTACTTCCTCTTCATTACATAAGAGAGATGAATATATCAGCACAAGACTGTCAGCACAGACACTAATCAACCTCTTTGTCTCTTTGGCCCACCAGTTGGTGCATGTTAGGGAATGGAAAGATATTACAACAGGATCAAATGGAATAAAAATTTATTTAGATGCCTGCTAAGGTTTCCAAAAGGTGTGTGCCTCTAAGAACATTGTCTCTGCATACCTTCTGAAGCATTCAAACATTTGTGAGGTGGTTGTTATTTCCAACAAAGTGCCTAATCATGTCAGTTAGTGCATAATTATTTATTTCACAATTGGACACAAGCAAACTTACTTTTAATGAATAATGGACATGACCATAATGACGCAACGCATAAGTGACCATTTTAATTCTAAAGCCTGAATTGGGATACATTCTTGTTTTGATATGTAAAGATTCATGTATAGAATCAAAATCATTTATTTATTTTTATGCACTGCTAAATCAAGCCAAAGACTGAATAGTACACTTTACATTGCTCCTTTTAGTTTAAGCCTTTAAGCCGGTCATTTTTGCCTCACTGAAGTTGATGTTTTTTCTGAGTGACATACACAAGAAAAATGTGAGTGCTCAAGATAAATTTTTCATATCTGTCTTATTTGACATTCAATATCTCAGGACAGAAATAAGGTAGGAGGAAAATTCTTTTTTGATGATGTTCCCCAGCATGTTAGCTGTGTCTGTTTCAAATTTTGGCCTTTTTGTTTAGCTCTTGACTCCCTGAAGGAATTTTAAAAACTGTTGTTTTCTGAGTGCCATACACAAAATTAGTGACTCATAACTCCAAGACCATATCATGGAGAGTCAAAAGGTAGGTATCGTTTGATATAAATCATTCTATATTTTTAGGGGGGGGGGGAAATTATTGCATTTGAATATTCTAATGTTGAGAAATAGGTGATCAAATGTAAGAGAAATTTGTGTGGTCAAGAGAAATGTTTCATATCATTCTTATTTGAATTATTTATTAAAGAAATAAGGTAGGAGAAAAACTTTTTTTTGGTGATGTTCCCCAACATGTGTGCTGTATGTTAATAAATTTTTTGGTGATATCATGAAGTAATCAAAAGTTACAACATTTGGAACCAAGGTAGCCCTTCTCTTAGCCCTTTACAGTTTTGAATTTGAAGTAATGCCTCACTCAAGTTTAGGCAAAACCCCAAACAATTATACTTGTTTTATTCTGCTCGATGAGACCTTTCAAATGACATATGACACATGACTATCTGAGCTGTATGATGTTTCTGACAGAGTACATGGCACAAAAAAACATTTTTCATAAATTATGAAAACATTTGTTTTCTATTTATTCGCAAATAACTCAGAACTACTTATGAGTTAATCAAAGTGGCCACATGTAAAGGTCAGACTCCAAGCTTTCAAATGACACCTATTTTGGCCCTGTCCCAAATGGCACCCTAAACCCTCATGGTCTTCCTCTGAGTCCACACTTTCGTGACGTAATGCCGCTTTGACTGTCGGGTAGAAGTCGGCTGCGTAACTTGCAGGCTTGTGGGTTCAGCAGAAGTGCGTATCGAGGGTGCATAGCGGCCGGAAAGGGGGCGCTCACGAGCACCCTTCTGAAAGCTAAAATGACGAATGGGACACCCTATAGTCTCGTGGACTTAACGGACACGCGCACGCAGCGGCCATTGTAAGTCCTCAAGACTGAAAGTGCACATGAAGCATGCCATTTGGGACAGGGCCTTTGTGTTGATCAAGGCACTGATTTTGAAAACTATGATTATAATTTTTTTCTTCGCTGGGGGCTCCCGCCGGCGGTACACTCTGGTTTAGAGGAACTAGGCAGCACTGGTTAGGAGTTGATCAAAATGGTTGGATGGATTCGAAAGCTGAATTTCTAAGCATTAAAATGATTAGCTAATTATTTTTTTAAAAAGTTATATAAAAGATAAAATAGACAGAAACATTCTAGGTTTTACATTCTGCTTGCCAAGTGTTCAATGGAGTTCTCAAACGGATTTCTTCAATTCATGGGTTTAGGTATTATTTACACACGAAAGACACAATGGATTGTTTTGATTTTGGATTCATTTCAATTGTGAGAATCAGCTGTAAATAAAGATATGCCATTTTCCACGATCGGAGCATGTTTCATGAAAAGCGTAAAAAACCATGAGAATATTACAACGTTCGCATTTGGAGTTTATGTGTTATAATTCGATGACAAATATCTTTAGATCTCAATGAGAGATTGTGGTATGATTGGGCTCATTTTAATCAAGAGAATTTTCTGAAAATAATGTCGTGCCTTTTTCCATGATCTATGCATGTTTCATGAAGTTAAGAATGAAAACGTAACCTATATATTTTTTTATTTAATGGTTTCATCTGTGTGATAACATCGTAAGGAATATCTTTAGATCGAATGAGCTAATTATGATGAGTTTGGGCTCCTTTTAATTGGGAGAATTTTCTGAAAATAATGACGTGCAATTTTCCATGATCTATGCATGTTTCATGAAGTTACGAATAAAAGCGCAAAGTAAAACTACAGTGGTTTATTCTGCTGCGCCTGAAGCGCACCCAATGGGTTTTATGTGTTATAGCAATATGAGCAACATCTTTGGATCTCATCTACGGATTATGGTAACTCTGCGCTCTTTTTAATCAGGAGAATTTTCTGAATTTTAAACGTATATATATATATTTTAAAAAGCTACTGCGCAAGTAGCCTACTTTTGAGAGGTGAGTGGATTCTAACTTAAACACCTCTGATTGGCCATTGCATTCCTGAAATCAACAGATATGTCTGTGATTGTCTACATTGCTCAATGCGGCAAACACGTGTTATAAATAGAAACTGCCTATGCTTGCGCATGTTAATAATTTTTGTGTTATATTAGTTGTTTTTGTGCAATAGATGAATAACAATTTACATATTTTTAATTACATATTTTATGTTGAGATATTTCTACTTTGCGGGAGTCCAGCGAATCATTTTATTCTCCCGGATCTTGTGCACACACACACACACACACACACACACGAGTGTCTACCCGTCCGCACTCGCCCATCAAGCGTTGTAAATGGTTTACTGAACAAGTTGCTCTTTCTTTAAATACATTCAGTTATAGTTTAAATTTTCTTAGTGATAAAAATCTACCTCAGCTTATGCTTAAAACTATAGGGAGCCTTTTTACATTATAAGGTTACAATTAGGCCTAACAACTTAACCCAGACTTAAATTTAATTGCTATTTATTTTTAAATAGATGATCAACACTCAACTTAAATTTTTTTTTAAATAAATAAAAATAAAAATGGTATGCAAACATGAAAATTGCACATAATGCAGTTTTTAAATTAACTTATAAATAATAAAATTTCTAAGCAATTTGTTAAAATATATTCAATTACACAATGGCTGTCATAGCATGTTTCATAACAGATTAATTTAAACATACTGTACATTAAGTAATTAAGACTAACAGGTTTAGTAAAATATGATGAGTATATGGTGTAATATTTTGCAAAATGCTCCTCTCTAGACTTAATTTCTCTAGTGAACTAACGAGCTGTGGACACTGATGACTTGCTGAGGTAAATTAAATGCTACGTGACATTTTATTTCCACGCTGTATTGTTGATGTCTTTCCGCGGTTGAAACACTGATTGAGCAATTACATGAGGCATGAGATGTTCAGTCATGTTTATTC